GTCCCGGTGTGCTCTCTCTGCCTTTCCTCTGCAGCAGTCCCTCCCCAGGGCAGGGCATTGCAGGAATTTGCAGGATAACTGCAAATTGAAATCACAAGAGCGTGCAGAGCCATAGCTACCCACCACAGCACATGGTACAGATATACTCCTTGCTCTCCAAAAGGAGGAATTTCATAACTTGTTGTCTCTGGGCTTCTCCTCTGTTCTGTTGCAAACATCAAACTTTTCCAGTTAACTTTCCCAAGGATGTGCTAGCTGAACTCTGCCCCAGTCTGTTTTTGGGGCAGTGTGTGTTACTGCACATTTTGAGGGGCAGAGCCATCTCCTCAGCCAGAACAGGGCTGGTATTTTTGCCCATTTAGAGATTAACCTATAGCTCCCATGGTGGGTGAAAATGCTGCAGGTGGGGCCCCATTCAGTGGTGAGAAGGACCCTGGAAGGTATTTCATGCACAAGATATTGTGCAGGGTAAAACCACATCCTCTGAGCAAATGAATAGGGAGCACAGGTTGTTGCAGCAGTTGACGAGAGATGGGACTTTTCATGCTCTTGAGTATCTGAGTCATGTGACTAATGCAGTGAAAAATTATAATCTAATGAAGCCATGAGTATTCTGTTCGAAGCATCCTCTATATGTTAATTATTAATAATACAGTTATGAGAAAAGTTCCTGTTCCAGCTCTCTGTTAAATAGGATTTATACAGCCATCTGGTGTTCTGTTTAATTCTTAATAATTTTATTTTCAAACCCAATTTGTGTCCTACTGTTAATTAATTTAAAACTCCTGAAAGAGAAAGGTGCTCTGGCTTTGTGATGGTTATGAACTGAGCTGCTGAGAAAACAGAGGTGGGCACTCAACTTTTGCAATTATAATTCTGATGTTGGGAAGGAAAGAAAATAAATGTCACCTCCTACAGAGAAGCAACAGCTTTAGACCTAAAGGTAAATGTTGACATATAAGCCCCCTGTCAGCATTAAAGCACAAGAAAGGAGCATAACAATACAGACAAAAATGAGAACAGAAAATATGAAGGGATCTGTAAAGCTGATATACACCACTGGAACGCTTTTGTTGTGGTACATCAAAAACTGCGTTTTCTCACTATTGGCTGTCCAAGGGAAGAGTCCAAGACATCACTGTCCCAGTCTCTGTGTCTATGCCTCTCACAGGTAGAAATCACACCCTGACTTAATTAGAAACAGATTTACACGCAGGGAAAACCTCTGCTACCCTTATATTTCCAGTATCTGACTGAAAACAAAATTGTGTAGTTGTTTCAAGGAAAAAAAAAAAATAAAACAACACATTATTCTGCAATTTTAAGTCAATAACATGAAGTAAACTCTCACTTAGATGTTGTAAGCCTGAATGAAGAGCAGCTGAGAGTATCCTTAGCTCAAGAAGCTCAAGATCAGTTTTATTTTCTTTCCTTGGGACCAGAACAGAAATTTAGCAACTCAAGCCACTTTTGGATATAATCCACTAGAAACACCCAACATAAAAAATTCCTGTTTCACCTTAATGCTGCTTTCAATTTTGCCACTTCCAGGAGTAGCTGCTGGACTCCACTATGGTGTTTGCTCTCACACAGCAGTGGTTCCTCAGCCCTCTCCTACACTATCCAAAGCAAGCACCCAAACAGCCTTGCTGCAGCATCAGCAGGGTGCTCTGTTGCTCTTCCTGCACCCAAACTTTCTCCTCCTTTTCCCTGAGGCCCTGCACAGCTGCAGGAGATAGAAATATGTTCTTGACTGAAGTATGCAAGTGCGAATCATAGATAATAATATCAGAGGAGAATAGTAAATTTGCAACAAGCCCATAACATGGGCTAAAAGTCTATTTCTTGGAAAGAATCCAGGACTCAGTAAACACTCAAATATTTGCAAATTGTTTGGTTTCCTCTTGACAAACTGTTCCAGTTGTAGTAATATTCGAGGAATCATGAATCATTAGGACAGCTAATTTTCAGGGAGAATTGACTCTGGAAAACTTGAAAGCAGGACACTTGAGTGCAGTTTACCAAGAATCCTGGGGTACAGAGTGATTATTTAGTTCTTTTAGGAAGGGTAGAGAATTAGAGTAATACAACATTTTTAAAGACCACTTTGTAAAGTACTGTAATTTTAGCTTTGTCCTTGCTGTGAAATATGCTCGAGCAGAGTTTCTTAATTCTTCAATGACCTTCTATATAAACTCTTTCAATTATAACAGAGCTTCAAATTTGCTTTCTTGCCATCATCTCATATGTCTTAGTAGCATGCTTTACAGAAAAAAAGGAAAAAAATAAGAGACAGACAAGTGAAGTCTGGAACTTTTGATGCTTTCTTGAATGATTTTCCAACTTGCCAACTAAACTTCCAGGACATTAAGAGCATAATTCTTGGTGAATTACAGCATCCACATCTCAGCACCCACACTTGGCCTGGGCAGGCAGCACCGCCAGACCAAGTAAGGGGCTGAGGCTTTGGGCACAGCGGGTGGGTGACTCCCTCTGCCTTTCATACTTGCAGGGCCACATGTGATGTTGCTTACACCTGATAGTCACTGCATTAGCTTTGAAAAAGGGACTTCAAATTTACAGAGTCTGTCCCAGAATTGATTTATTAAATACATATAATAATTCACCCTTCACCTCACCCCTCTCTACTACAGGATTTTCTTAAATTGAAAATAGATTTCAAAACACAGGTTTTGTATACACAGGACTAAATACCTCTCAGCTGGATAAAAAAATTTGTACCTGAAATGTATTGCCTCTTAAGGAAATCATTACTCCGTAACCACAACATAATCTCTTTGTTCAGCAAGTGTGATAAATATCAGTCTATTATCATAAGTCACTGCCAATAACTTAACCCATTTGTCTGAATGTGTTTCTGCCTCCCACAAATGGAACTATCTTACTTTCAAGTTAGCAGTTAGATGTTTATCTTACACATAGACACATACTGCTTGCTGAAAAAAAAAGTATTCCAAAAAGTGCTAACCTGCAAGACAACATGAAGTTGATAAATGTTCATTTTTATGTTCTGTAATTAGTTTAACAGTTATTACCAGTGAGCAACAAGTTATGGTGATCCAGAAAAGATTCTCAGATTTCCCGGGTGTAAGAAGATATTTATACAGAAAAAGATCAACTAAATATGACCTACCACAGATGCTTTAGGTCAGTGTACATGCATTATGAAAAGGCACACACATATACAAGGTAAGAAATGGAGGAAATGTTCCTCTGAGTAAGGTAGGATGAATGTGCTCAAAGCAGCATAATAACTAACAGCAATTTAGCTCTGGCTAATGGTCTTGGTATCTAAAGGATGACACAAATATTTAGAAGAACAAACAAGCAAAACAGTGCAGAAGACTTCCCACATTGAAAAGGTTTGAGGTTCTAACCAACTTCATGATAATTCTCAGACCATAAGTCACTGAGGACTATTCCTTGATGAGGTGCTATCAGTGTCTTTTAGATGAGTTCATTTTCTGAAGGAGCACCAGAGCAAGTTTGGTCTCCTGTTACCAAAGCAACAACTTCAGTAACTAAATCTGACCCAGCTTGTTGAAAGGCATGTAACTAAGAGTGAACTAAGACGTTATGCTCAGTTTTGGTGATGGAACGATGCAGTGACACAACATCCTAGGAGGAAATATTTGGCTCCATACTATGTACTCCTGCATGAAAGCAATTAATTTCAAATAAGAGTTTTAAGATTCTCTTTAATTAATGGCTTTCATAACAGGAAAAGACCTTCTCCAGCCAGCACAGAAGCAGAGTTAAGAGGCAAACTGAAGCAGGTGGTGGGTTTGGGAGGGGAAAGAGAGAGCAGATGTTAGCTTGAAAATTTGGAACACTCTTCAAGTCCCATAGCAGGAGCCCAGTTTCCATCAATGCATATTGTAGGAGCAATTAATTGGGACCACCCAGACCTATGATTTGCCAGAATCAAATTTTCCATTCACACAACATACTTCCGTAAAGCTGCATGTTTGTTTAAAATACTTCTAAAAGTCATTCAATTTTCCTGTTTTTCCTTAAAATATACATCTTCCTTCTGTTTTATAGATTTGGGGAAATCCAAACTTTTAGAATATGGATGTGGAACTTCAGGAGAATGGAAGCTGGAGATCTATCAGTTTTTATCAGTGTTTATCTACTTTAACATGCTTTCAAAAAATAAAACTCCTAATTAATCATAAATTGATTTTTGGTGTTTCAGTCTAATTCTGAATAAAAATTACAAAACTTCTTTTTTAATAATTTAAATTCCACTTTCCACCATGCTGCAGTGAAGGGACTTGACTATGACAAAATCACTACTTTTTGTGTATGCTCTTTCTGTGACATTACAGAAAGGTAACATTTTTGATGGTTGCAAGTGGCTTTGGAGGCTAACTAACCCGAAATGTGGATCAGAGCTAAGTGGTCAGGAAGCATTTGAGAGCAGATGGGTGAGACAGGATGCTTGGTCTGCTGACTTCCATCAAGCTGCAGAGACAGTCAAAGCAGAAGATCTAGTTTGAAGGAAAGACAGACAATTTGGCAATGGTAAAGATTCTCTTCTTTTATAATCTGTGGCCAAAGATGCCACAGCATCTGCTAGGTTCATCCCTTACCTTCATGTAAATCACAGTGAAGAAAGGAAGACCCTCAGTTTGCTTTGGTAGCAACTTTTGGTCCCTGATGAAATCTGTAGAGATTCATAGTCATGACCTGCACAGGAAGCACTGCTCTACGGGCAGCCCCTTAGGCCATCTATACATCCATGTCTATCACTTTAAAATAAATGCCATACCTGTGGTAATATTCCCTTTGCAAATAACCTTTTCCATATTAAAGTATGTGAGAAAATGCAAATCAAGCCATAAAACAATAAAATTCTAGGGATAGTCCTGGTCCTGATGAAACTTATCTTTCATTTGTTATCTTTCAGGAGACATCGAGGAAACATAATTTAGATATGAAGACATATTCACCCAGGACCCAAAGAAATACCTTACCTTTTTGACCTCGTATTTAATAGCAAGTTTAATCCTGCTCAGACTTGGCCGGTGGTGCTCAGGGCACAAATGTATGTTCACATCTCCATTCAGAATAGCCTCTACTTCTTCGGTGTCTCTGCAAAGGTCCAGCACCCCCACAACAAAGTCCTTGCATTGCATAGATAGCTTCCTATAGTCGTTCTAAAGGAAAACAGAGAAAAACAGGTTATTTAATTGTGTACTTGAAAGCATGCTTCAAACAAACAAACCAAAAAAGCAAGAGAAAGCAATTGTGAGCAAGGTTACTTCTGCAAAACTACCAGCTGGAGTAGTAAGAAAATACTTGATTTCACCCAGGATGTAGCGTAACTAGCTTTTCACAATTTACATGAAATCCTCTAGACTTAATTAGCAATGTTTCTATCAGTAGCAGAGTTTACATAACAATAGTCCATGCTTTACAGAACAACAAATAAATAATTTATAGGAAAATCTTGATTTTAAGCAACACACTTGACCCCTCCTTTCCATGTGGCATATCTTCTAAGAATGTGAAAAGGTGGCCAAACAAAGGTCTTGCTAATGGGGTAGAATTTACAGCAAATTTTACTATTTAGATGAGTTGTTAGTAATTCTTTCTTTAGTAACTTTCAAGGAGTTTCAGACTGGTACAACAAGCTCGAGCATCATACACACATGTGTTCAAATGAAATATCTAGCTGCAATATCACATTCAGTTTTGAATTTATTACTTAACAATTTGGTTAAACAGTCCTTAAAGAACATCCAGAGGATCATTTTTGCCATGATTCTCCAGGAAATGGGACTTCAGAAACTCAACGTGATTTCCTATGAAATAATTTCACCTTGCAAACTCAAATTACGTTTATGGGAAAAGAGATAGTATGTAGCTGACTTGATACAGGGCTAGAAGAGAAATTTCAATGCCTTAAATTAAATTGTGATTTATTTTCATATGCTGACACTTAAAAAATGAGGAAAATGTCACCATCTGAGTAAATGCAGTAAATTAGAACAATTAAGGACACCATTAATATCGTAATATAATGGTGATACTAAAGACTCAATGCAACAAATAGAAATAATAAGCATAAGACAAGCTTTTACTGACTTGAGAGATCTTTTCAAATTAGGTTTGATGAGTTAATTAAATTCAGCATCTTATCTAATTATGCCAGCAGCCAAAAAAAGAACATATTTAAACCTGGGTTTGATGAATGTCTAAGAGTAACCTGGCTTTGTAGTCCTATATTTTCTAAATTATTAATTCTAACATTTACACATAGCACCATATTAGTGTTCCTTGTTAGGGAAAGATCTCAAAGCACTGTGCAAACATTCATTAATTAGGTAGAACAGCACAGTCTAAAATATGATGTTATTAGAGGTGACTAAATTTCTTTGGACAGTTTTTCAACTTCAAAACTGATACCCTCTTGATAATGAATATTTTTAAAATAAATTGGTTTAATGATTTTGTCATAGGTTTGAGGTTGTTTCTAGTGTGTGTGTGTGTGTGTCCCAACTTTGCTTACTATGCTGTCCTGTATGCTGAAGGCTCTGAAGAGCTGTTTCACTCAGTACAGAAAAAATCAATAGTCACAGAGAACTAGAAAGCCCTTCAGGGATGGGATTAGAGCATTCTTGCAGAAATGGGAAGATGCTATTTCTGATAGGTGTCTAAGGGAAAGGGCTGAAGACGAGAGCTGGGGAATAGCCTATGTTTTAAAGGTAACACCTTCTTCAAGGTGGAACTTGTATGTTTACATCCTCTTATCTCTCAAAAAGGTTGAAATCTGGGTTTTCCTTTTCCTTGAGAGTTGTAATCAGACCACATGTTCTAACTAGAGTGTTTGTAAGTGGAGATCAGCAAGAACTTCAAATCTTCATTAAAAGGAGACATAATATATAAAAACAAGCAGATGTTTATCTCTGGTAGAGCAGATGTATGCCCCATTGCAGAAACTGGGGCCCCAAGACTTCTATAAGTGTGCCAATTTAGTGCACTAAGATATATGATGTCCTTAAGTTTCAGGCAGAAAATGCTTGTACATTTGCATCTAAATCTAGTGTATGTATTTTGTGGAGGTACAGTTTACAGAGTGAATGTTATCAAATATGGGGTGAAGTAAGGTCTGAAATGTAAATGAATGACAGATTGTACTTTATGGATTTAAAGTGCTCCTCTCTAATCAGTTCTGTGCTTTAATCTTCACCATACCAAGATGAATTTCATTAAATAGAAAGCTTGTATGTTCATTGAGAGAATAGATGCCCAAACAAAAATATCAGTCTGGAAGTAACTACAGAAATTGTGAAGGACATCAAATATAGGTAGATCTGAAAATAGTCGTAGGCTGGGAATGAAATACCTAGCTATCACAGGTAGTGGTGACACATAAATAGCCCAGCAGGTTGTTTTTTTTAAACAAACAAACAAACAAACAAACAAACAAACAAGGGTGAGAACTCTGCTAAACTTTAATACCGTTCTCTGTGTACTGTTTGCAAAGTTCACAAGCTTATCTCTTAGCCGGCACATTTTAGGTAATTCTCGTCACCATTCCACATCATCTGAACAACCGGTATGTATTAGCTCAGATTATTTTTCCTCTTCTGCTTTCTTTAAGAAAAGCAGTTTAGTTAGCAACTAGGAAAGTGATTCTAAAGCAACTGTAAATGGCAGGCTCCCAGCTGGCAAACTCCATCAATGCCCAACTTTATTCACATCTCCAAGCCTAATGTTTTTACCGGTTCTGTACATTTGCGGAGATTATGAATGGTTTTTCTGTTCAAAATTATTTACTCCAGTTTTTAAGTAGACACAAACAGCAACACAATCTACCCAAGATACAGGCTGTATAAAGAATAAAATAAAATAAAATAAAATAAAATAAAATAAAATAAAATAAAATAAAATAAAATAAAATAAAATAAAATAAAATAATAAAATAAGTAAATTATAATAAAATAAAATAGCCTTCCAGCCAATCTGCAGCCAGGCAGGAGACCAGTTTACTGATCTAAGGAGACTTTGCTCACATGTTAAGACAAGCCTCAATGATCACTGAACCTGCTGCGTCTTCTGATGATCCCTTTTACAAAAGCATTTGTCACCTTTGTTCTGGCTTCTTTAATGCTCACAGTCAGCATAGAAAATCCTGTTCAGTCTGATGGTGAGAACACAGCCACTCAGTGGCTCTCCTCATGCTAATGCCTTTCCCTTTGCAAGCACAGAATATTGGCTGAATCTTTACTAGAAACTGAGATTATCAGGAGACTAACAGCCGAGCTTCTCCTGACCCTGGCTTGCATAGTGTAGCTTTGATGATGCAAGCAGAAATGACCTACCTGCATATAAAATACTGCATTGCAAGTCATGACATTTACAAGCTGCATGCAAGCTATATTGGTGTATGTGCCAGTGCTGTATAAATTGCTTGCATTTTACACATTTGGAAGCATCTGAGATCCTACATACCCTGCACAAAGGAGTGCTGTGACAGTCGTGGGGCTCAATTTTGTGTAGGAGAGATGGCTGCATCCCCAGGGCAAGGGCTAGCAAGAGGTGGAAGAGTCGGGAGAAAGAGGTGAAGGAGAACCAAGATGCATTTCCAGTTACTTTTTGTTACATCAAGGTTTCTGAAGATCAGAGCCCTGAGGACTCTTGGTGACTGTGCCAGGAGACAGAGGGGCAGACAGCCACTATGTCTTGGGGTGCAAAGGGCCAGCCCCCACTTCACCACTGCCTCTGCCAGCTGGGTTTGACCCCCAAACCAGGCACTTCATAGCCCTCCCAACCTAAACACATTTCTGGGGGGAACCATCCTGGTTGCAAGCCTGGCCAGGCGGTGGGCTACAAGTGGGTGTCCTTCCTCCCACTGCAACAAGAAACTTAAAGCTGGAGACATAAAAATCCAGCTCAGTCCTCTCAGCAGCGTTGTGAAAACAAACACAGGCAAAGACAGTAACCCAAACCTTCCTGAGTACTCCAGTTAGCTGCCACGTTACAGAGGTCTGAGGATTATGAGTTTCATAAAACAGATGGATCTTTACAGTAATGAAAACCACAAATCATACATGAGGGATGCTGAGGCCTCATCCTGACAAGCTGAGCACTGTCAAGCTTCAGGGAGGAAGATGAAAGATACAACTAAGTACACAAGAGAGATAGTCTGCTTCAAATAACACATGGAACAGTATTTTATTTCCTATAGAGACGGTGAGTAGAGAATGATCAGGAGAATGCTTCAGAATGTTACAGTATAATTTTTTTTTAAACTATAACATAATAAAAGGATTCCAAATTAGTCATTTCCTGCTTCTTCTAACACTGTTGTGCATGTGGAGTTAAAAATGTCTAATTTGGCTGTTTTGAAAAGGCTGATGGTACTTGTCATTCATTGCAATTTCTCTGAGTACCCTATTATTATCTGTTGATTATGTTCTAAATGAACTCTGTCATGTCTCCACATCTGTTCAAAACCACCCAGATTTCTTCAGAAAAGAACTGTTTCAGGTCAAAGGGATACAGTCTGAGTAAAAAGTTAAGTGGAATAAGAAAAAGTAAGACCTGCAACTTATCTTGGCTAGTTAATGAAAAAAAAAAACAAAAACAAAACAAACAAAAAAACCCCCACAAACAAACCACAAAACCAAAAACCAAATAAAAAACCAAAACAACAACAACAACAACAACAAAAAAAAAAAAAATAAAAAACAAAACCAAAACAAATCAAAACAACTATTTAAAAAGCAATCATAGCCAAGGATTGGAAAGCATCTTCACCCATAGGAGTCCACTTCTTTAACACCAGCACTGCAGGTGCATTTTAGACAGCACATAGAGGTCTGTCCTCAATGCTGCAACATGTAGTGAGCAATCTGAGATTTGCTGAAGCCCTCAGTGCCGATGAGCTTTCACCAGAAACTGGAGTGGGGCCAGTGGTTCAGAAACTAAGAGGATCAAACAACTTTATATGCAATTACAAACTACCTCCCCAGTCCCAGATTCAGGAGCACACTTGGGTTTATGTTTAAGTCCTGATGATGCTGATGAAATACTTGTAAGCAAGTGTTTCAGTGAAGCACTGAAGGAATCTTTCAGGCTTCAGGAATTTTGAAGTGGGATGAGTTTGTCAATCAATCTACAGGTTTTTTTGGTTGCTATTGTAGATTAT